CCGTATCCAGCTTTATTAAAGGTACTTTTCATAAACAATCATGGTAATTTAGGCAGGACATGGGCTACAATCTGCAACATTTTACAACAACTGTCAAATTCCCCTCCCTCCATGGACTACCAGAACGTAAAAGTTGCTATAAAACCGAAGAATCTTCACTTCATACTTGGTAAAGTTTAGAGTGAGGGTGGACACTTTCACATTTAGCATGTTGTTTAACAACTCTTCACAAACCTACCCTGACTTCGAGAGGAAAACAAAACTTAAACTGCAGGTTTCTTAATCTGAAGATCCACAATATAAAAGAGGAAGTGCAGCTCCTGGCAGAGCTGTTGTATCCTGAACTGGACACCCTGACAACACACTGGATGGCAAGTCCCAAAATTCCTGTTTTGCCGTTGTTTCGGAGCGATGGATCTGGGCAAACAACGTGGACACCAAAGGGAACATAAAGGGATCTACAAACTGCCGTTTGGAAGTGAGCAATGGGCATCTTGGGAGCTTTGATGTTCACTCGAATGCACTTCACAGAGCTTAACACATGTGCAGCATGAAGGGATCTCTTCCTCCTCTATTCAGGAGGAGCTCTTCCAAAAAACTGGGAGACGGGGTAACTTTTCTTATTAAAATTTAGGTTCTGAGAAATAGACTAAATGACATTTGTCCCCACTGCCCCCCCCCAACACAACAACGAAGCGGTCTGTGTGCTAACAACATAGCTTAAAAAAAAGTAAAACAAAATTCTGCATTGTTATAAAACTTGATAAAAAATAGTATTTCAAACTGTACAGTCACCAGAAGTACACAGTTATCAAAAATTCACACATTTTACTTGGCTTCACCAGCACCTTCAGCTTTCTGTGCCTGCAAGAGAAAAGGAACCAGTCAATACACACCGGGCGCTCGCACCAACAGCTGGTGACTTGCTCTTATCAAGAGCAACCCTCTGGACAGAGGGAATCCTATCTGTCACCACTCTGATTTTAACAACATGAAATCTAACATTCCAGGTACCCTAAAAGGCAACGTGGAGTTGCTTTATTACAGCAGCTCAGAGCAAGGCAGAGCAGTCATTTTCATGTGGCAGCTTCAACTGGCAAACAGACAACTTTAACTCTTTAAGCTCCAAGCAACACCCCCACCTGTAGATGTGGTGTTAAGCATCAGAAGCAACAGGTCCAAATGATCAAGTGATAATTTAGTGCAAGCCAAGACCTGCCTGTGTGTGACAGCTGTTAGATACGCTGCCAAACCCACTGTTATACCTGGTCTGTTTTGGCATCTCCATTTTCTGCAGGGTTGTTTCCCTCCTTGCCAGCATCACCCTTCCCCTTCTTTCCCTTGGGCAACTTCTCGCTCTTCTGTAAATGGAAGATGAGGTACGCTGTTACTGACAGGCACTGAGCCACGAGAGTCCAAGAACCCAACCCTGGGTGTCAGCATGACAAGAGAAGGCAACACACGATTGTGTGTGCATTGAAGAGACTGACAACAACTGCAAAGAGTCTTCCCTTTGGTATTTTTAAAGCCAATTTTGTAAAATTCCAAGGTTTTCAGTGTTTCCAGAAGCGACAATGCAGCTCAACTGCATCACCATTTTGTTAGTTATGCTTGGATTAACCTAACCCTCACAACGCATTTATCTCTCAATAATCACTGCACAACAACTTACCTTTGGAGCTGCCTTTTTAGGTTTAGGCTCTGGCTTAGGAGGAGCGGGTTTCTGTAAGTGAGAAACACCCCTTGGATTAGTCAAGCTATTTTAAGAGACACCCACTACCTGGCTTTAAAACACTCAACCCCAACAGCTTAGCAATAGGAAAGCAACTCAAACCACTTGAACTTGAAGCACTTACTTGGTTTGTCCATTATTCTCCTGCTCCCACAGCACCACACAATGGGGCAATTTGTTAAGCCAGTAACTGTCTTTCAACTGAACAATGCGTCTCTCCAGAACACCGCACACAGATGCAGTACCTAACACTGAGCTTAAACCTGCTCAATGCTGGGGCACCTCTGCTCGACACGAGAATACTCACAGCAGATAACCTCGCTGATCTCCGTTGTGGCTGTTTGAAAAGGAAAATGATTGCATTTAATGTGGTGGAATACGAGCTTAGACAGGAACTTTCATTTCAAAGTCATAAAATCCGAGGTTTAAGCTTTTAGTTCCCTTTTTTGCCCCCATGCTCAAGGAACAGGGAGGCTGTTCCAGTTGAATCCCTGCTAATAGCTGACAGTAATAAAGTAGATCTTTTCGTCGTCAAGATTAAAGGAGAGTTAATCCTTTGAAGAATCAGACTCCATCAAGACCAAGCCTCCCCCTTGCTCCCCACTTCTTTATCTCCACAAAGTTCAGCTTCTCTCCAATGTAAACACTCCATGATCCAACTTTCCTCCAATATTGGAACTTCTTACCTCATCCTTAACTTTGGCCTTATCGCCCTTGGTCTCTCCTTCAGCCTAGGACGTGAACACAAGCACCGGACAGTTCGGGGGATGCACTCTCAGTCCCCAGCCCCGCACCGGCCGCCATTTTTAACCCTCCCCATCCCAAAAGGGAAACGTTCCCCCCCCCCGCCCCCTCCCCCGGAAGGTGCCAGGCCCCGGGATCCGGGGAGGGGCTGGAGGCCGCCCCTGCGATCCCCGGGCCGGGCGGAGGCCCCTTCGCGACCCACCCCACGGCGGGGCGGGGGCGGGCGGGGAAGCGGCGCTGCCCCTGCAGGGAGGCCCCGCTCCCGCCCACAGCTGCCCCCGCGGGGCGGCGGTTTTGGCGGCAAAGCAGCGCGGCCACTTCCCGCCCTTTCCCTCCCCCAACCCCCCCCTCACTCCGACCTCCCGCCAAAACCAACCGGATCGGACCGGCGCCACTCGCCGCGCCCCCCCACCCCCGCCCGTTAAGTCGTGTCGTGTCCCCCTCCTCCCCCCACAGGCGCGGCCGGTAACGGTGTCCTCGCCGCCCCGCCCCCACCGCCGAGCCCGTTGCGGCCTCACAACCGTTACCGCCTCACAACCGTTACCGCCCCGAACGGGAGGGGGGAAACGGGAAAGGAGGAGTGTGTGTGTGTGTGTGGGGGGGGGTGAGCGCGTAGTCCCGCCCCCCCACCTCGCACTGGCGCTAGCGGCGAAGGGAAGGGGCGGGGGGGGGTTAACCGGGACTGTAGGCCCCTACGTTGGAGAGGGGCCCGGCGGCGCCACGTACCTTTCTCTTCGGCATGGCTCCGTGCGGGCGTGTTGTGTGTGTGTGTGTGTGTGTGTGTGTGTGTGTGTGTGCGTGAGGGAGAGCGGCGTGAAGGGGGCGGAGGGAGAAGGCGGAGGAAGGGCGGAGAGGTGGGGAGAGGAGGGAGGGGGGAGGCCGGGCGCGCTCGGTGCGGGTGAAGGGAAGTGAGGGCAGCAGCGGGGAAGAAGGGGAAGGAGCGGGCGGTGCGGTGGCGGGGCTCGGCGCGGCGCTGCTCCCGGCGGGGGCTCCGCTGGTGCCGGACCGACCCCGCGGATGGCGGAGCGGCTGTTTATAAAGTTTTATATAGAGCCGGACGCGGCCCAACCGGTTCCAGCCGGATCCCCACCGCCCCGCGCGCCCATTGGACAGCCAGGGTCACGTGGGGTGGGGCCAGGCGGGGATGGGAGATGATGATGGAGGGAGCGGAGCCGGAGGGGGGGGGAGCGGACGCGCGCGCGCGCCCCCTCCCCGCTTCCCGCGGGCGGGAAAACGCTGAGGGTGAAGGAGGAGGAAGGGGGGGGCAGGCAAAAATAAGGACGAAAAGGCAAAAAGCAGCAATGGGGAAAGGCGGCGGGATGGGGCCTGGGGGGAGGGGGAGGAAAGGGGGTGACCCCCCCCACATCGCACACATTTCCCCCCCCCCCGCCGCTGTCCTTCTCCGCGGGGAACTGCGAACCGTGCGCGGCGGGGGGGGGGAGCGGAGCGGAGCTGTTCGTTCAGCACCGCCGCGGGCCCCACCGGGCTCTGCAGGGCCCGCAGCGCTTCTCCTGCGAAATAAAGGGAGATGGGGATGGGTTCTGGTGAGCAGGAGCGAGGGAGAGGAGGCGGCGGGGCTGGAATGGGCAGGAAGAGTGGAAATGCAGGGAAACGACATTAAAACACCTCGAGCTGGGCCCTGCGCTCAGTCACTTGTAGAGCCAGGCTCCTTCCCGAAGGAGCCATATCCCACACTGGGACATGGGCACAGCCATTTGCTGCAAATCTGGATACAAGATGCACGCTTCAGCGTGCACAAACTTCTCATCTCTTAATGGAGCCTCACCAGAAATCCAGGCCAAGGAGCTCTCCCCTCCCTGTTACCTCTCAGGCTTTATCAGCCCCCAAAGTGCGCTGACTTTTCACATCTTCACCATACAGATGTGAATTAGAGGAGTTAAATTCTCCCTAAAGTAGGTCTGTGGCTCTATTGCATAGAATCAGACTGGTTTGGGTTGGAAGGGACATCAAAGCTCATCCAGCTCCAACCCCTTCCACTGGAGCAGCTTGCTCCAAGCCCCTGTGTCCAACCTGGCCTTGAGCACTGCCAGGGACGGGGCAGCCACAGCTTCTCTGGGCACCCTGTGCCAGCGCCTCAGCACCCTCACAGGGAAGAGCTTCTGCCTAAGAGCTCAGCTCAGTCTCCCCTCGGGCAGGTTCAAGCCATTCCCCCTGGTCTGTCCCTACAGGCCCTTGGTCTCCCATCAGCTCCTGGTTGGTATTTCCACAACTGCCACCAAGGTTCACTGGAAAGATGCGTCCCTGGAAGTCAGAGTTTGTCTGTGTAACTCATGGCCAACCCCAACTGGAAGGCTTAACAGAGACCTGACATTCTACTGGATTAACCAATGCAGGTGGGGCAAACCATCAGGTAACTCAAGCCTTTTTCCACTATGTGAAGGGCATTTTTCTCCTCCCTAACTCCAGCAAAGGCTATTTTATAAAAGGGATTAACTGATTCCCTACAAGCTTTCTGTAAACCAGATTCTTCAGTTCCCACCCTTGCAACAGTAGTGCTACAGTGTGGAAAACCACCGCTGCAGCTTTGGTCACCTACAGCATCGTAACACAACCAAACCCCTTTTTAAGGTAAAAATACATCCTCGGGTAGAAAACAGCTCTGGCCAAGCAGACTGCAGAGTGCTCCATCTCATGCAGAGCAAACTATTTCCACAAACAGCTTCCTGGAAGGTGAAGACAGAGAAAAGGAAAACAACAGCAAAAGAAGTTTCCAACTGACAGCTCCCATCATCTCACCATGCTTTTAGCTAAGCTACTGTTTGCTACTTACGCAAGAGGAGGTACGTGCACGGAGCTTCACTCAGGCAAGCCTTGGGGTAGCAGCAAACTGCTCACACCAGACTGTAAAGAGAACACAGCCTTCAAATCGTTTCCAGTCTAACAGGAATCAGATGAGGAGTCTGCCACAGGTTAAACAATATCATAGTAGATGCAGAGAGCAACTTCGTCACACCTTAGGATAAGAAGCTCTACGTACTTTTAGATGTTCAGCTTGGGGTTTAAGTAAGATCGGTATGAACAGGCTTTATTCACAATTTGACAATAATTATCCTCTTCACAATCACAAAGTGCTGGGTTTGCAGCACTGGCAAGCCTTTTGACTGTGTTTTCCTAGCTTTCACCTGGAGGTAAAAAGGAACACTTGAAATCCAGCACTAGCTGGTACTGCTGCACCTCTATGTGCATCAGAAACACAAATCGAGACATTTTCTGGTATTTTGACCATGGGGACGGAAACCAGGAGAAATCAGAGGTGGATATGGGCTTGGAAATAAGCTAGCCCATGTCCCTGCCAATGGAACTCTGAGAACAAACCACTCTCCACAGCTGCTCTGGCCACTCCCACTGCAATCAGTTAAATAATCCTTCAAAACCATATTGGCTGGGGGCAGAGGTTGGTTTTGGTACTGTATTCTGAGCCGTGAATTTAATTCCCAGTCATTCTTCCTTGCCTGCTCAGAGCCTTTGCTAAGCACTGATAGCCAGCTTCATCATCAGCATCTTTGGCATTTGGGTTTTCCCAACACACAGTGCTCAGAAGGGATCGCAAGACTTAGGAGTATCTTTTTACCTTTACAGCAAGGTAAAACACCACCTCACTTTAGCTCTTTGGAAGACAAGAGCAGATCCAAACCAGCACAGTAAGGTCGGGAAAAGCCAAGATGCTCTCATGAAGTAGGCAGTGGGAAGTATCTCTGCTGCTGCTTGGCACGAGGCTTCCTTCCACACCAGGAATTACCCTCTCCCTGCAGGAAGCAAGGCTCCCTTTATTGGACAGCAGAGGAAACCTCCACAGAGATTCACTATGGAAAGAATTCCAAGTCTGGACTGATTTAACAGGACTGAATCGGTTTGCTTGGGCCAATTCATGAGGAATCAAACACAACTAGAGGCTCGTTTCAGGTAACTTCTTGTCACCAAAACCCCCAGACCTGTAAAGTATCAAGCAGCAGAGATACAGTGGGGTGTGCTTATTCTCCATCACCAGAGGCAGGGAGGCAAGTCAGGACGGCACTGCCTTCCTCGGCAGCATTCACAGAACTAGAAGGGTTCACAGTACTCTTTGTCCCTGCCCTTGGTCAGGGCCAGCAGGGACAAGTCCTACAGCAGCCCTCATCCTCACAGCGAGTGAATCCCTCAGGGCAGCAGCTGTTCCCTCTAACACAGATTAAAATGGTCTTCCCATGAAGAACCCAGCACCTGTGTCATGCGGACACCAAACACAATCTCTCAAGGAAGTCCGCTCTCTTGTGCTCCAGTGCCTGCAGGAAGCTCTGGATTCTTTCCTCCCTCATGGCAGTGCATTTCTGCAACAGTGTCCATCGGCGCCGACAGTCTCCATGGGACGCAACCCCCTCCTGCTGCAGCTTCTTTGCCACATAAGCCTGATCCCTTTCCATCTGCTGTCGCCTCCTTTCCTCCATGTAGGAGTCTCTGGCCTTCTAGAGTGAAAAGCAGTAGAATGTTAGCACTTTAGCATGCCTTTTAGCTCATCTGTGGTCAAGCAGCATAGGTTATGGAAGAAACAGCCTCTGCTTGGGCCATCAGGCTGCAGGTTAAATGAAGGGTGGCCCTGCATGTGCCTCCTCCTGCCTGACTGGTTATAAAGAGATAGAGAGATACGCTTCTGGACCTTCCCCCCAGGAGCCACGTCTGCTCACAGCATCAGCTCCTAGGCAAAATAGTTAAAGGTCACACAGATTCTGCAGAAACCCTCAGATGTTGGAGAGGAACAGCATACAGGGGGACTTCTAAACCACAGACGTACACACAATCTATCCTCACCAGTGTCACTGCAGAATCTTTGATCCTATTCACATGGCATCTGAAAGGGGTTACAGGATTCAGAGCAGTCATTTATGGGGCAATTCTTTGAGCAGATGATCAGGTATTGAGCTAAATCAGCTACAGCATAAAGCATGAGTGGGCTCACCATTATTAGTGATCTAATAATGTCCTGGCTCCAGACACAGCAGGATGGGCAGGAGAAAGGTAGAGGCAGCAGCTACCCTTGCCTACCCTTCAAGGATTGGAATATTTTTGCAGAGCATCACTTTGGGATTTCTTCTTATTGCACATTTCATAACCTGCAGCCTCCAACAGCAAACACACATCTGCAGCCTCCAGTTTTAGAAAGAACTGGTCACTGCGACATAACCTGACACACACACACACACACTCACTGGGGAGTGCTGGCCTTTCAAACAAGCAAGAAAGAATTATTCTAATGAGAGCCTGACTCACTCTTCACCACACTTTCGCCATGCCTCAGTCTATGCTCTGGCACTGTAAATTAGCGTTTGTTGTGCTGGGAACAAGAGTGGAAATATCCCTAGCTACAGAAAGCCCACTGAATTGATAGCACTCCATGCTGCAGCTCTGTTGAGTTGAAATGCAGAGATCATCAGCCTGTTCCACCCCTGAACAGAGTGAAACTCTGCCTCTTCACCAGGAAAGGCTTGGCATGACCCCTTCCACAGGCCAGCTTTGCCAATCAACTTCTGCACCCTCTTCCTGGGTCCACCACACATCAAAATCAAGTTACAGCTAATCCTGGGGCTAAGTGGAGACCAACAACCAGCTAGGAGACTCGCTTGAGCAGCAGGCTAAGTGGGAAATGAAGACAGCCATTAAAGGTGATGCTGTGAGTTGATGGAAGGAGGATAGTTTTTGCCAACACCTCCAAATCAAGGTGGTCGGGGCTTTTTTTTATGTACCACGTTAAACCTTCCATGCAGCTGCCCATCCACACTGTAACTGTCTCCAGTGTCCTGAACACAGCAGCACTCTCCCAAAGCAGACACAGCTACTGCTATATCCTGTGGTTTCTCAGCAAATCAACCCCTGAGCCCCAGGTCCTAAATCTGATCAGTTCCTTCGAGTGAGATTTCCTCCCTGCACAACTGGACTGCAACCCCTGAGAAAAGGGCAGCCTTATATACTGCAAAGCAGATCTCACAGCAAGAAAACTGACCAAAGAACAAAGCTGGACAATAAGAAACCTTGATAATAGCATAGCATGAACACACATAGCCACAAATGAGAACGAAGAAAAGACGAGACAATCTGAGAACAGAAGCAGCATTTGTCACCCATCAGAAATGAGCACTAGGAGCAAAGGCAGAACAGTAACCTTACTGTTCAACACTGTTCAAGACAGAGGCCAAGCTGATGTCAACGACAAACACTACTGCCTTTTTTGCTTTTCTCTTCATGCAGAAGGTGAATTGTCATTAGTTGTACTAATATAATGAGTTGCTGGTAGGAAAAGGGCAGAAATAGGAATTACAGAGGTTAAGGGCGTGGAGAATTTGGACGCTTCCAGACTGACTGGACCTGCATAACCACAGCTGTCTATAATCTTTGACAGCTCTCAGAGGTGAGCAAGGTCCCTGAAGGTAGAAAAGGGCAATATAATGCCTGTCTTTAAAAGGAGAGGACCCAAATAATTAAGGAACAGACACACTCAGCAACCAGATACAGCGGAGGTAAGAGTCACCACAATAAATTCCTCCTCCTGCCACTCACTGCTGTTTCTGTGCTCAAGCTGGTGCCCCTCACCTTTCCCCATCAAGAGCTCCAGCTCCCAAATTTGTTTTGCTTAAAAATAACCAGATTACTAAATAACTACTAACTTGGCCAGACTTATCAGCACCAGGTCAGGAAGAACTCACAACAAAAGACTGGAGAGGAACAATGACAGCAAGCAACAGGAACAACCTCAAGTAGGCACATCTGGACCCACCAGAAAGAGGACACTTGTCCACTCTCACAATGCAGGCAGCCTCACTTCAGCTCCCAGAAAGGAAACTCTAAACCTACTTGTAACAAGTCTAAAAGCAATAGAGTGGGAGGAAGAGCATGCAGATTCTCCCTGCTCATTCCACAGTGAACTCAGCAGTCTTTGCATAAACCACTGATGAAGTGGTTTGAGTTGAACTGGCTGATTTTATCCTGTAGCAAATCAGGAGTGCTTCCTTATTCTGTCCTGTCAGCTGAGGAGTGGAGACAGATACTTCCAGCTGGTGGAATGAGCAATGAGTAATAGAGACAGTGGTGACTTCAGATATTTTAGGTATTCCTCAGAAGAGAGGAGTCTGGCCACACACTAAGATACAACAAACCATACAGGTACAGGAGAAGCCACACATCCAACATTACCTGCTACTGAAACAAGATTACCCACACTGAATGAACAGTTCCTCTGCTCCCACCTGGCACACTCTCACCTGATCTTCAGCACGTTGCTGTGCTGTGTTGAGCTTTCCACCCTTCTTCAGCTCCCTTACCTGTAAAGCACTGTAGTTCATCTGGAACCGAAGGATAGCCTCACACAAGTTCCAAAAGGAATATTCCGGCCACAAGACTGACTGAAACACCAGGCATGAATGGGATGTCTGCAGAAAGCAAGATCACCAATAATTTAGTTATGTAGCGAGGGAAAAGTCATCAAGATGCAGCTCTAATGGTCAGACTATGCCAGATCTTCCACAAAGATTTTACACAAGCTGTGTTATCAGATTCTACTTAAAATGAAATAAATATTGGCCAGGAGAGTTTGAAATTACACAATGTAGAGTCTTTCCAATTAGTTTTTAAATGCTGGGACACCAGCCATCCATTTCTGCAAAGATACCAGCAGAATTCTTTCTAATGCTATGTTGGCCTTCACAGAGGTATTTTTATAGGTTTAAGCATCACAGACTTGTAATAAAATTAAAATAGCAACACTGGACTACCAAAAGCTGAGTGAAAGGAATAACAAATGAACTGAGGATCAGGACATGACATGACATTTAATCAAATGACATCCTGTGTTGCTCCTTACTGCCCACTCATAGCATTTAAACTGCTTAATGAACCCACAAGGCACACTGAATTGATTCTAATGCTGCATGATTCAAGTTTCCAAATTAAAAACCTATTCTTGCCATCAAGGTCCTCAAAGTTTCAGGTAAAAGTGTTCCTATGACCATTACTACAATATCTAACCCTTAATGGACTCTGTATGGCTCTTGAAATGGTGATGCTACAGAAACTTATGTCAATTCTATACAATCACCACCATAAGGACATTTTCCTTGGCATCAGAGAATCATCCTGAAAGCACGATTTCCTCCTAGTTTGGGGCCATCAGGACACACACAACTGGTAGCAAAGGGAAATTTGCATTACTGCTCTGGTGTGTGAGCTGGCAGAGCAGGAGCACAATCACACGTTCTCCTTTGCTGCTCGTGCTGTAATCCATGACACAGGCAAGAGTACAGGTCCTCCAAAAACACAGGGAGGAGAGGGGGTGCCTTGAAAGGCAACCACAACTCAGGCCAGACAGCTTCTGTGAACCTGCCAGTTAAATAACTTGGAACAAGAACATTTGATGTGGTTGCTTAAAGGCAGTTGGGTTTTGGCTGTGTACATATAAAACAAAATGTTAGCCTTAAGTAAAGCAGCTCAACTCAAATGTTCTCCTGCAAAATCTGGGTTACAAAGAAGTCAATAAGGCCTAGCATAGAAGAGAGAAATGGAAGTGGCTTTCGATACTGTAACCCCAAATACATGAGCTTTAGATGCATTCTGAACTTGCTAGGTTTGAGCTTACCAGCCTCGTCATGCTGGATTTGACTATGCCAGCCTTAGAACACATCTTCTGGGGCCTTGTTTCAGTATGAAACTCTAACAAACTTCTGAAGGTGTGACAAGTCAAGCATGTACCTTACGTGTATGTTAGAGGGTTACACCTCCAGCTGGCATGTCGCAAACACATCTCCCAGGGATGTAGAAATCTTCCTCATCCCAGGAAACATGTCGCCAGGTTAAATTAAAGCCAGGAATTTACTAACAAATGAGGAATTCCATAAATGGGAGGCACAAAGGATGAACAATTCATGATTTCCTTAGCTGCTGTCAGCTAGACTAATTTGTGAGTTCCTATTGTTTTTAGGATGATACAGTGTCAGACTCATGCTGCAAGGTATTTTAGGCAATCACAGAACTGTGAGAAACAGGTTCCTCAGCGATGCCCCAGCACTTAGCCCATCCAAGAAGTTACCTAACCCCTGGCAGAGAGCGTTTAAGAGCCCTCATGTCAGCTCATGCCTGAAGTCAGCAGAACACTCTGATATAGAGCTGGAATATGTCAAGAAGAAAACAAAGACTTTACCTGCCAGAGTAGGAAATCACTCAGTCGAACCTCTCCAGAGGTTCGAATCAGGAGGTCTGGGTCAGGGGAGTTGTTGGTGTACAGACACTTATCAAGCAATGATTCAGACACGTCACTAAGAAAGACAGAGGCATCTTACTGAGATATCTTACTAAGATCACTTTCTTGACCCAACAGAGGTGGCACTGCTAAATCAGAATTACTGAGGGGTTTGGTTTCTTTCTAAACACAGGACTGCAGATTAAAACTGGGTGGTGGAGCCGTACCACAGCCTGTCATCAACTTGCTTCTGATGGACACTGCTGTCTGTTCCACAGGCTAGTTCAAATGTGCTTTCAGCCCCCAAAGCATCCCCCGTGTGCTCCTGTGATGGAACCAGACTATAAGGGCTTCCATCTGGAGCAGAGAGCACAACACTAACTACTCCATCTCTTCCAGGGTGGAGGAACAGTTTAGTATTCATGATTTATCTGTTGTTTGACCTCATAGCTAAGACTGCCAGCCAAGCAGCCAATTGTTGTGGCATAAAATCTGCCTTCACATTTAAACTAGCTTAAGACACAGACCTAATTTCTCTTGCGTCTTGGTTGTGTATCTATCGCCATGGTAACTGCCATAATAAAAACCAAACATTGCATCGTAGCTTTAAGTCATTTGTTCCAGTCCTACTGGTTTAATGAGATCTCTTTAAAAGCCACTTGGCTTTTGAGGGGTTAGTAACGAAGCGTAGGTGGGAAGAGAGGCAGTTTTCATCTATGAAGCCTCTCAGAGAAAGACAAGAGTTACCTGGGTTCGAGCAGTCCTTGTTCCACCCCCCATGCCATCTCCCTGACAGCATTGCTGATTTCATGTCTTGATGTGTATGCAAAGCAAACATTTAGAAAGCATCTGAAAAGAGAAAGATGTGAAAGGCTAACCTAAGGAAGGTCCAGCAGATGACAGAGGGAGTATCTACATCAGTTACACGTGCTTGTAGGACAAAGCACATAAAAAGGTGCAGCATGTCTGCCAAGCCTCAGCCTTCAGGTAGAAGATGTATCAGCTACTTCAAGCTGTGTGTTACTTACTTGTTGTAGTTCCTTGTTGCCAGCACAGCCTGGGCAATCAGTTCCTGAATATCCAGGGGCAGAAGTGGCAGGTCCCCAAGGACACGGATGCACACACCGTGTTTCTTCAGGTTCTCCCTACACCCAACAAGAAGAGTGAGGACTACAGAAAACAGATCAGTCTCTACTTCCCAAGTGCCAGATCTGCCTTGTTCAGCCAGATGAAGACAGGAAGCAGCAGGCACAGCTCAGAATTAGAAAAAGGCAAAATGACCAAATGTTTTTCAGGTGTGCAAAGCTGCCTTAGGTTTGACCATCCCAAACTGTTCATGAAGGGAAACTGATCATTCCCCATGCAAGTTCCTGAGGTACAAATGTAATCAAAGGCCTAGAAAATGATCACAGATTAGGCATTCCTACCTGAAGTTATGAAAATCCACATGGAAAATGGAATACAACCACAGACTCTTGGCACCTAAATCTAATTAAAAATTAAGATGACTAATGGTCACCCACAGAGTGGCACAGCTACTTCCTGGTGCAAGGAAAGATTAATGTATCAATGAGCGTGGTGGAGTGAACATGAGAGGAGACGGGGAATCATCCATGCCTGCTCCAGCAGTATTCTCAGCAGACAGGACATCCCATGGGATTTTATGGCTTTCTGCTGCTGTCTGTCTTCTGCTACAAACTCCCTGATGAAGGGCTGCATTGGGTAGAAAGTAGGGAAACGGCCTCTTTGAATCACAGAGTACTGCAGTGCTCAGGTAGCCCTGATCTTCCCAACTCCTACCAGCACACCCAGCTATCCTCTCCCTCCTTCCAGCTGTGCTCCTTTGCTGCCTTTCAAATTTACCTTGACCAGATGAGGACACCTTCTGTGCACGAGTCAGGCATGGGGAAACCAACATACCCACTGAGTTACACAACACAAACCAACATACCCACTGAGTGTTACACAGCACTGTAACACTCCTCCCTGCTCACCAAGACCTCTACTAGTTTCATCTACTCACAATACATTAACTAGTTCTCCAACTCCAACAAGTGATTTAACACACTGTGTGCCCATATGTAGAAGTCTCAGGTTACCACACTCAAGTTGCTGAGCTGAACTCTGATCTGCCAAGAATATTGTGACAGAGATTAAGACAAGGCTTTGAGACTTCTGGAAACAAGGTACAAAGCATCTTCTGCTAAGCAAGAATTATTCCTAATGTGCTGTGCTTATTTGAAAGCTGCATTGTCCCAGCTGCTTGCATGGGATTGTTGCAGTGAGCCATAGGATACAGACACAAACCCAGCGTGCATGGGGACTGTGCCCACTCAGGAGCTGTACATCCCATCCAGGTGGGCACAGTCCCTCAATCCAAAACTCTGGCTGGAGAAAAAGGCTTCCTTCGTTTAATCCATTTTCACAACTAGTGACATCTCTGTAAACAACTCCTGATCACGTTCTGCTTTAGTTCCACAGTGTGGGATACAGACATGACAAGATTCTTACTGTTCTTCCAGTAGGCGGCTAAATTTCTGCCTTGCCAAATCCATTAGTCCATCCACCTCCTCCTTGGAGCGTTTAAAGTTCTCAATACTAAAGGCATAAACAGTGACCTCCCGAATGCCAAGGTTTAAACACCACCGCAGTGTCTGCAAGAAGACAAAACAGAGTGAAAAACAGAAGCCGGATGAGCAGACTCAGACAATCAGGTCAGCAAGACCCAGCTGCTCCACTGCTATAACCTTCCTGTTATTTTCCACTATGCTAAGACTGGATTATAAGAAACAACCACAGAAAGCTGACAATAAAACCTACTTGATGAGAATTTCAGATTCATTTTAAAGAACAGGGAGAAAACAGCACTTCTACGGATGAGAATCCGTAACAGATATGGGACTAATCCAGCCAGGGGAAAGCAACTCTTGCAGATAACACTATGAATTATTTAATACCATACCTTTCAAAATCTTTTCAAAGAAATTCAACTTGTTTCACAGAATTAAAGCCTCAAGATCTGCAAGGTGGATATTTCAATCGAGTGCAAAACAGAAGGGAAAAAAAAAAAGCTGATGGGAATGACTCTGTAAGACAGCAGACAGACAGGAGGTGAAGCTGGGAACCCTGCTGACTAACATCAGCTCCAAGCACAGGCCTGACTCCCGTGAGAAAAAGGAACACAACACACCAGGAAACATGGCTCAAGCTTTCAACACACAACTCAAAGGCAGCAAATGTCCTCCCACCTGAGCCAGCTTATCGAAGCCTTGCGAGTGCCCCTGCTGCCTCTCCACGTGACACTTGCGGGCGTAACGGCGGTTGCCATCCATGATGAAGGCCACATGCTTGGGCATTGGACCTGCCTGGAAAATGAGGAGAAACCCAACAGAGCAAACAGCCAAGCTGGCATCTTGCACTGCAGAGAGTTTAGTGCCACCATTCCTGGCAGCACTGCCTGTTTGTAGGATTGCAATGTTATCTCCTAGATTCAAGTCCTGAGGTGGAAGGAGCACAGTGCTAATGACCCCTTTGCTAACCCCAGTTTAGGCTCTCTAAAAAGCATGTCGGTATTGACACCTGCCTAAACTGAACAGCAGCTTGGTCCTCCCCGTTTCTGTCATGTAACAGAGAACAGCCATAAGCAGCAGTGCCACAGCTGCTTCTCTGCAGCCATGGGGAGGGGTGCACGCAGGGTTATGCTGCTGTTATTGCAAGTATTTGTTATTTCAGAGTACAAGGACATTCTCACAGACACTTCAGAGAAAACAAAGGAAGTCATAAGACCTTCTCCCAGTTGAGTATTCCTTTCCATGAGGTCTGCCCAGACCCTTTCACAAGGACATCATCACCAGTCTTAAGACTCTGCTGAGCAGAAGAATCTTCCTGGAACCAGTGAGTTGTTATTCTAACCAAGAGAAACTCAGTCTAATTTTTTAACACTCATAATACGACCATCTTGCTTCTCTCCCTTCTCCTTCCATGCCCCACCTTGATCAGCAAGGGCACACACCATGGAAGCCTGGGAGTGTAAGCTCATTATTGGCAAGCACTGCCTACAGCATTGCTCATTTGCAAGGCTAAGCTTAAGTAATCTGTCCTCGAATGCTAAGCGATGTACATCCAGTGCCAGCACCAACACATACCCTTTCTAGAACACTGCCTTTCTAGAACAGAGCAGCCACAAAGGCAGTTCCACTCTGCACCCTGACGAACCTCCCAGCCCCTTACCACAGGTAACCAAATTAATTCCTTACCTTAATGATGTTGGCACAAAATCTCTCTATGATGGTCAGCTCGCCCTCTCTGATCCATGACATGTTTTACCAAGAGCTCCTTTTCTTTTTCAATGGGAAGATGAAAATAAAAGGATTAGAAGAATCTGAGCCCAAAGCAACACTACAGATGATCACCTTAGGAAAATAAGCTTTGACTAGCTGCTTTGGAGCCCTTTCTATCATCTGTGCAAGTACTTTGATAAGCAGAACCCGGAGGAGCTCAGAAATGGGCACTGGAATTTTCCAGTGTGTGTCAGCAAAGTGGATTCTTTGGATTCTTTTTTCTTTGGTAACAAGAAGAAAACCCACATACTGCATCTTCCAGCCACGGTGCTGGTGGGTTGGGACCCCCAGTTTGGGCAACCACCAGGAACATCACAGGGGGGCAGCAGCACAAACTGACCTTCAATGCTTTTGTGTTGGGAGCTGCTAGAAATCCTTCAAATGATGCAACCCTCTACACCACCAACTGCCCTGCACTTGTGTCACAACTGATACGGCTTTTCCCTCACAAGGAGCACTTTCAGCTCCAGAGCTGTAACAACACTGGGGGTTTTACCACATTATCTGCACATCAAATACCAAGATCTGGTTTGAGTTATCAAATCTGCTGAGCTTCCACATTAACCTTCAATTCCCTCAGCTAGAAATATTGAGAATGTGGGCAAAGCAGCTTTGAACAGAGAGCTGTGGGAGCAACAGTCCAGATCCAGCCACCCATCTAGGGACCAGAGGAGATTCAAATTACACTGATTGCATTAATTTTCCTCGGGGCCTCCTCTACCTCCTCCCTCAGGAAGAGGCGTTTAGCCACAGAGGCAACCACAAAACATTAAGGCAAAGAACTGCTGAACCTCGGCCTCTGTTACTAAAGCTCTTAAGGCTCCCCTTGACCAGCTCGGTCTGAAAACACCTCCTCTTCCACCGCTGTCGAAGCAACCCACCCTTCACACAGTCACCCTAAAGAACAACCTTCACACAGGCGCCCCGTGCCTGCACACCGACACAGCGCACCGAGGGGGGGGGACACGACACGACCCGCTCCCGCCCAGCCCGTGGGCGCAGGACCTTCACGCCGCAGTCCCCGGGGCGAGGAGGGGCGGAGGTACCGGGGGAAGGGGGGGGGAAGGCCGCGCGTAGCGCCCGCTCTGGGGGCGGCCTTCAGGCCTCCCCCTGCTCCCTGAGGGGAGGGAAGGGGTCGCCGGTGGGTGACACCCGGTGGAAGGAGACACCTCCCACCGCACAGCACAGCCCCAAAGGGCTGCCCAGCTCCGTCCCGGTCACCCGTCCCGGTCACCCGTCCCGGTCACCGGTCCCGGTCCCGGTCCCGGCCCCGCCACCGCCCGTTACCTCTCCCAGCGGCGCCGCCTCAGCCTTCACCGGAGGGTGACGTGCCCTTCCGCCTACGTCACCCGCCCGCGCCCAGGGCTGGGGGCGTGCGCAGGCGCCGTGACGCAGGGCGGGGCGGGGCGAGGCTGGGGCTGGCGCGCAGGCGCGGTGGCGCCGTGAGATGATGGGAGCGGGCGGCGGTGGCTGGGTCCGGGGCTTGGCTTTGAGGCAGGATCGGTTCGGGGGGGGGGCTGAGGGCGGACAGGGCCGTGCCAGGGCCATTGGGGTGTTGGCAGGTCGCTGCAAGCTGCGGGTGGGACTGGGGTGGTTATAGGGCCCGTACGGCAAGGCCGTAGTGGTGATGGGGGGCTGGTTATGGGCTGCAGGTTGGGGTATCCCCATTCCCTCTGCACAGGCAGCACCAGTTTGGGTCTGGGCTCAACCGCAAAGGAGGAAGAAGGCAAGAGTAACCACACACAGAGCATCACCAGCAGCCACTGCCCATGGTCTTTATTATTATTATTATTCCAGAAAAGGAAATAAAAACAACACATTTTACATAGTTGGTACAAAACCAAATTAAAATAAACAGAGGGGTTAAAACCTGCAGCAGCAGGCCCTGGGGATCCCGCTGCAGGGACTCCAATGGGAAACCTCGTTGGGAAGCACCCACCCCGGTTGCTCCCTCCCTCCCTCCCTCCCTCCCGCTTCATGAACCCCCAAGAGTCTACGCTTTGGTTGCTAGCAGTAAACATGGATTATTACATTCTTCCGTCTCCTCATAGACAATCGTGGGAGTCGAGGCTTTCGCACCCGGGGACACCCCTTCGGGAGGGACGTCTTCTCCTCATCATACATTCAAACGCTCCCGTGCTCCAGCAGGACCCTGAGTGTGCAGCCTCACTGGCCCCTAATGCATAGTGCCCAGTGCCTGCGAGCCGAGCATGGGCAAGGAGGGGGGGTGATGATGCAGCAAGTTAGTTCATTATTGTCAAGACACGGGAAGAGCCACCATGGGAAGAGCGAGGAGGAGGAGATGTGACTCGAGCCCATCTTCCCCAGCGTGGCTTCCCGTTACAAATAAAACTCCCTGTTTTCTTGGATCCCGGTACCACGCTGGCTCCGGGGGAACCTGAGTGATTCTCTAAGCCATTTACTTCAGCCTAGGACAGGGATGGTTACAGAGCTCCTGTCCCTCGCAGCTCTGTGTGGGGACAGCACACAGAGGACATCCTCTCTCCCTCATCCATAACCTATTGGATGCTTTGGCTATATATTTTTTTTTTCCTTTTTCTTCTTTTTTCCTCTTTTGTAAACAATAATCAAGGAGAATACTGAGAGAAACGGGAAGTTTGACAGAGGTCTCGACATACACTATAGACATCTAGCAGAAAAACCACCAAACCATTAAACAGGGGGCAAGGGGAGGGGGGGGAAAGGTCCTACATGATTCTTGAAGACAGAATAAGGGGGGGGCAGCAGTTTCCCTGCCACAACCGAGGTGCCAGGGGAAGGCCAAGAGCCCCCAACAGCACTGCAGCAGGGCTGAGGCGCAAGGCTTAGACACAGCCCAGCGCACTCTTATTGCATTTACCCCGTTCAGCCAAAAGCTGTTTTGCTGAAGTAGTTTTGTACAGATCCCGTTGCTAGTCAAGAACTTACAAAGTCCTTCCCCACACCCTCCCAAGAAGAGACCACCACCTCACCATTACAACTACGGGAGCAGGGCAGGCAGCCCAGGAGCCGCTCTCCATCCCCTGTGTGCCACAGGGCAGAGAAAAGCCTCAGAGGGGTCACTGGGCTCCGGCAGCCTCAGCAAGCCCCATCCGTGAGGATGGAGTAGGTGCTCCCCGTCTGCTCCAGCCCTGCTCTGCACCTAAACCTATTGCTACCTAAAACCCAGCAGGAACAGCACCCGTGTCCTGACATGCCAGCACAGGAAGGCTCCAGCCAGCCCCCAGGCTGCAAGTGGAGTGTTAATGCCCCAAAACCAGGGATCCAGAGTTTCCCCCAGCCATTGTGAGCCAGGATCTGGGAGAAGCCAGGAAGGGAGAAGAAAGAGGGAGCAGTTGTACCTCCCTTGGACTTGGGTCCACCTTGGCACCAGGGCCCTTGTCCCAGGAGGTCACAGCAGCCTTTTGCCTGAGGCTGAGTTAGGGCAGGGGAGACTGAGGTTATCCTCAATCCCAACAACCTCACTGGCCACTGTTTGCTCTTGCCATGTCCCCCTGAACAGGCTGGGACCCCCATCCTGGCTTTCCAGCCCCCAGCCACACGGCACCAGCCTGCTGGGAGCCTGTGCAACATCCCAGCCCGCAGGCAATGGGAGGGCTTGGACATGGGGCAGACTGGAGTGTTCCCATTGGGACAGCAGGGAGGGGACATTGGAGCATAAACAGGAGAGAGAAATGGAGGACAGTCCTCAAAAGCCACCAGGCTGGGGGAAAATCTGGAGTTGAGGAGCCAAAATGGGCTCTAGCAGCTGTTCCCATGGCACTGCCTGGCTTCTCCATCCGCACACACTGATCTACAGACCCAAACTCCTCCTCAGTCCATGGGGAAGGGAAAGAGACTCTATTAAATCACAGTTAAAAAGAAAACAGATCCCAAACACACCAAAAAACACCACCGAAAAGCTTGACAACGACAGTCCGCCTGGCAAACATCCAGTGAGGTAGATCTACACTTCCAATACAGACTTGGTCATGTTTTTGTGCTGTTAGAAAAAGCCTTCCTCTCTGTCCAGCACTGGGCTACAGAAGCATTTTATCCCTGAGATTGCTTGAATACCTGAGAATAACTTGCAGGAATTATGTCCTTTCTCTCTCTCCCTTTTTTCTTTTTTCTTTTTTTTTTCCTTTTTTTTTTTCTTAAAGATTAAAATATACAAAAATACAAAACCAGAATATTTATATTAAAAAAAATTAATCAAAAAAATACCACCAAAGACGACAAACAAACCCAAAGATACGTCACTCACGCACGTCCTAGTGCAGGTTTCACTTGGTGTTGGCTTTGACATGGACCAGGGGGGCTGTGCACCGGGGCAATAAATAAAGGCAAGACTTGGAGGGGGGCCGGTGGGACAGCAGCAGATAACAACGGGGGCACCTTTTCCCTCTGCCCCTGGGGAGGCTCAGCCCAGGAGTATGGGGTGGGCAGGAGGAGCAGAGATGTGGTTTTGCCCTGCATGGGTTTAAGCCATGGCTGGATCTGTGTGAGCAGAGGGTTCTGTCCTCAGCCTCCGAGGGAAACGCTGCCAGCAACATCCCTGGGAGCTGGCTCTGCCCCATGTCTGGTGCCCAATGCTTAGAGAAGAGCATTCCTGCTCCGTGAAGCCCTCCTACTCCCCAGCTCTGCATTTCAGAGGCAGGGAGAAGCCTTAGAGCGGAGGAGCTGGCTGCATAAACCACCTTGTGCTCTCTGGGCCGGCACTTAGGAAGAGGTAGGGGGAAAACAAGTGGTTTTCTTTTGACCTGATCTTCCCCCCGCTGCAGCTCGCAGCCCGCAGCAGGCAGCGTTAGCCCAGACCCCGGAGATGCCCTGTTTCCTTCCAGACGGAGCCCAAAGCTGGGCTCTGCTGCTTTCAGCAGTGGGGCAACCCCAGAGAAACTGCAAATCAATCTGCAAGTGAGAAACTATGAGGGGACCCATGGGGCCAGCCCACAGCATCTCCCCAGTGCTCTGCAGCCAGCCTTCCCCTCTTGGCCTTCCTCCTTGCAGCAGAGAGGGATGGGGCAGGCATAGGAGTGGGTCCCCTGCTGCTCATCCAAGCCATTCTAGAGCCTGTTTGAAAGTCGGGAGAGCAAGGAGCCATAAGCTCCTCCCTGAGGTGTTGCTTCTCTGCTCCTCCTCCCAGAGACACCTTCGCCTGGCTTCCTTTAGGAGAAGAATAAAGTTAGATCAAATACGTTTTTGGTTCTTTTTAGCTGGAAGAGGTGTGTTGGGCCCTGCTTCCCCTATGTTTGGAACAAGCCACCCTGATTAAAGGCAGAGCTTCTCCCAGGCTGCGAACAGGGGGAAAAGGTCTGTGCAGGGACACCAGGTCCCTGCCGTGAGCACTGCTGCCTTCCCCCCCTGGTCTCTCACCCTGCCGTCCCTCCTCCAAGCCCCCACGGCTGCCCGTTGCCTTGCCAAAGCCTTTTCATCCCGGTGGAACCCCCTCTCCCTGCCGCCCGCCATCATTCCCGGGGTTCGGGGAGGAGGGCCGGGCTGTGCATGTCCTCCTCCTCTCGGAAGTAGGCAGGTTTGCCCTGGGAGCTGGGGGACTGCTGTGCTTTCGCGGGGCAGTTGGCGACCATGTGGCTGATGCTCTGGCAGAAGTGGCATTTCTTGGGCTGCGGTGGGAGCTTGCACTCTTTGGCGTGGTGGTCCAGCCCACCACAGTTGTAGCATCTGCGGGGGGGGAGGAGAGAGATTCCAGGAGGAGGAATACAAGGAGGTGGGATGCTGCCGTTGGCCGTGCTTGGAACCCGTCTGGCTCCACAGCCAGCGCTGGGCTTCAAATGGGTGGCTGCTGCAGGGATGTGGGGTTAGGCTCTTTGGGGGCAAATGGTGGCCCTGGGCTTGGTCCCTGCAGAGCCCCAGCTCAGCCAGTTTGGGCCTGGCTCAGTGGTGTTGCTGGTACCCAGGAGATGGCAGCAAACCCCTGCACTGAAACCAAGCATGGGGATGTTGGAGGGGCTTCCGCCACTCCGGCTCCATCATGGTTCTGGCTCCTGTGCCTGCAGACCCTGCACCCAGGGTTCCATGCTATGGACCAAAAGCCTGCGGCAGAGCAGGAACAGGCAATAGGACAACAGCTCAGTTACAGGGACTGTGGCCACCAGTGCTGGGATAGCCCCAGATGTGGTTTCTCTTGTGGCTGTACCCTTGCGCACTCATCCCCTCAGGGGCCACGGAGCAGTGTGGGCAGAGGAAGCTGCTGCCTTGTGTGCATTTGAAACCCTGCACCCATCCAGGACAGCCACAACCCTTTTCTCTTTCCTTTTCCTTCTCCCATTCCTTTCTGAGAACTCACTTGTGTGTGAAATGCCAGGTTGGGTAGGCAGCACCCACTGGGAAAGCCAGGATAACGCCTCTTGGGGCAGCCAGGATGGAAGGGGTGGGA